ATACAATAGTTTTTATTTCTTTTGGCCATATTGGTAAAGTTGTTGAATAGAATAGCTTTTGTTTTGTTTCAGATGGAATAATCAATTGTTCTGTACCAGATTTGAAATAAGTTTTCCACAAATATTGATAAGTTTGAATAACCATAATTTTATAAAGTAAAATAGCTATTTTTCTTAATTCATCCATATTATTATTTAATTTTTCTGCTGTTGTTATTATCGACGATAAGACTTGATGCATAAGTTCCTTGAAAGATATATTTTGTTTTGTTAAATAATTTGGAATTATTTCAAGTTGATCTCTGATTTCTTTCATTATCTTGATAGGATCTTTTTCATGTGTTGCATTTGTTGATAATTGACTCATTTTTCTTGATAAATTTTGTTTTTCTATTTCCTAGAAATTATATAGATATATTAGAAATATAATCGATTTAAATTTATTTAAGACTTACATCCAATTCTTCCTTGACTTTACTTTTCTCTTTAATATTCCAGGGAAGATCACTTGACATTTTATCGAAATTTTGCAAAGTTTCATCCTATAATAAAATGGAAAATACTTGTTAAAATAAAAAGGATCATATGACAAAAAAAATTTACTATTACCTGTTGTTGTTGTTGTTCTTCTTCTTCTTGATTGTACGAATTTATATTCTTTGTTATCATCGTTAATAGAAAGACAAAGACTTATATCTGAAATAAAAAGAAATGAATTCAACAAGCAAATGAAGAGAAAAATACACAATGAAAAACAATATTTTATTTAGAATAAAGAAGTTTGATGAAGAGTAGAAATTCAATTATTTTAAATATTTTAAATATTATTTCGATTGGCATGGAAGGTACAATTAAGTGTGGTTTCAGTAGAAAGGAGCACAACATTTTTGTTTTGTTTTATGAAGTGTAAGAAGGAGATGCATGAGTTTCATATAGGTGAACGTTTCGATTTGAATTACAAGCTCTTTTGAATAAAGGATAAAATTTTTTCCTTACGCTGTTTCATATTTTCTAGACGACCTTCAATAATGGAACGCAATTGTATTGGATATGTTTGGATTAAATGTGTATTGTCCTCTGGTTGTTGTTTTTCGTAATAATTCTTACAAGCACCTGATTTCTTATGATTCGTCTCATGATTGAAATCGATTGAATTCGTTTTGAAATAGTTGCTCATAATATTCTGGTTTAGAGTTTCGTTTTGGAATGATTTTCGGGATATAAACTATGGTTGGCGTGTGAATGTAATTGTTCGCTTGTAAAATCGATTATGTTTTCGTCACAACATTTCGACAACACTTATCTAAATTAGAAATGAAAAGAAATGAAGACAAAAATATCTGAAGTTGGTCTTTCTACTTGTTGTTCACTTGGATTGGCATCATAAGATAGTCTAACGAAATCAACTTCCTTAATGTCGAACCAAAAGGTTATCTTTCTATCTTCAAAAAACTTTTTCGATTTCCTGAGATCATGTTCTATCAGAGTACAAATAGAATTATTCACCATGTCCACTGAGAAATCATGAAAATATTCATGAGCTACTCTGTAACAATGAGTATTTTCTTGTAAATGCATATTTAACTTGTGTCCTGCATCTCGTATTTTATTATCTATCAGTTGTCGTCGATGTTGAAGGTTTCGTTCACTTCGAGGATAATCCCAATTCATCGAGTTTTGATTCGTTATATTTTTTGGCATTGATGATAACCATTTTATTGCAGGTGTTCCAAATTGAGTTATATGTTTCCAATAGTCTTCTTCAATCTTTAACTGTGACGCATGAAATTTTAATGCCGTATGTTCTTGTATAAACTTGAATAGGGATGTGCAGTCTCAGTTTACTGATGACTGATGGCATCAATATACTGAGCACTGATAACTGATAACTGACTACACTGCATTGGCAACGCTGTCACTCGGTCTAAACTGACAATGAAAATACTGATACACTGCTACTCACTGAGACACAGTCCTTAACTGACCACCGACTACACTGATGTAGGTGTTCAGCACAACACTGGCACATCGATTTTGTCTTAATATGCATATAGTATGGTTTTATTTATATTTCTCAAGAAAAAATAGTAGAGTGAGTGTGTTGGTAGTGCTTAAAACTATCTCCAATTCGGTATATCTGTGGTTCGGTAGAAAAGAGACGATTTCCCTTAACCACTTCATAGCTGGTTCTACTTTTAAGACATAAATAACATTTTTAATTCTGAATCTTGCTATTAGTAGCCATTATCTTCCGTCATTGTCGCACATTACAGATAAATACTTTTGAAGAACCGTTCAAAAGAAATACGAAT